TAAGGCCAATAAATCTTAGATTTGCTCTTCTGAGGCTATTTTCTATATCTTATAGGAATGCTTTATTATTTTAAATTCTCTTTTCTTTTGTATCTTCTGACTGTATTTTCAAGTAGCCTTTCTTCAGGCTCACTAGTGCTCACTTCTGCTTTTATTTATTTATTTATTTATTTATTTTTTTTTTAGGGAAAAAGAGAAGAAGAAGGGGAAAAAAAGAAAAAGAGGGAAAAAGGAATATTACTTCATTCCTAAAATGGGTTTCAATAATGGCCGATCAATATTTTGAGTGTTTAAAGTGGTTAATGCATATTTTATGTGTTTGAAATGGAGAGCTCTATTGAGTTTATTTGTTCTGGATCTTAGTTCCAGTCCTGGATATCGTTATCAATTTTCTGTCTCGTTGAATCTAAATCTCATTATGGGTCTTATGTATCTGGGTGTTAAGATCTCTTATTATTACGTTAATCCTTTTATCCTTGTATCCTTGTAGCTTTGAAATCTATTTTGTCAAATGTGAAAATTGCAACTCCTGCTTTTTATTTATTTATTTTTGCTCTCCATTTGGTTGGTACGTTTTTTTTCCCAGCCCTTTATTTTGAGTCTATGTATATCTTTGGATATACCGTTAGATTTTGTCTGTATCTTTTGATTGGGAGATTTGGTCGATTTAAATTTAGGGTTGCAGCCGTTTGATATTAACTGGCTATTTTGTCCTTTTGTTGATAAAAATTCTTCTTTATGTTAATGCTCTTTACTTTTTGGTGTATTTTTAGAAAGGGTCATACTGGTTGTTCCTTTCTGTGTATAGTGCTTCTTTTAGAAGTTCTTGTAAAGCAGGCCTGGTGGTAATAAAATCTCTGAGTACTTGCTTGTTCCTAAAAAATTTTATTTTTCCTTCAAATGTAAAGCTTAAATTGGCAGGATATGAAATTCTGGGCTGAAAGCTCTGTTGATTAAGTATATTGAGTATTGGCCCCCACTCTCTTCTAGCTTGTAGGGTTTCCGTTGAGAGATCTGCTGTAAGCCTAATAGGTTTACCTTTATGGGTAACTTGATCTTTCTCTCTGGCTGCCCTTAATATTTTCTCCTTCGTTTCGATCTTGGTGAATCTAACGATTATGTGCCTTGGGGTTGGTCTTCTTGAGGAATATCTTTGTGGTGTTCTCTGTATTGCCTGGGGTTGAATAGTGTCCTGCTTTGCTAAATTAGGAAAATTTTCCTGGATAATGTCCTGTAGAGTATTTTCCAGCTTGAATTCATTCTCTCCGTCACATTCAAGTACACCAATCAAGCGTATATTAGGTCTTTTCACATAGTCCCATATTGCTTGGAGACTTTGCTCATTCCTTTTTATCCTTTTTTCTCTATTCTTGTCTTGTTGTTTTGTTTCATTAAGTTGATCTTCGACCTCTGATACCCTTTCTTCTGCTTGATCCATTCGGCTGTTTAAGCTTGTACATATTTCACTAAGTTCTCGTGTTGTATTTTTCAACTCCATAAGTTAATTTGTATTCCTCTCTATATTGTCTATTCTTTTCAACATTTCATCTAACCTTTTTTCCAAGTTCTTAGTTTCTTTACATTGGGTTAGAACAAGTTCCTTTAACTCCCAGAAGTTTCTTATCATCCACCTTTTAAAGCCTACTTCAGATAATGGAACACAGTCCTTTTCCATCAGGGCTTGTTCCGTTACTGATGAGTCCTTTTCCATCAGGGCTTGTTCGGTTGCTGATGAGTCCTTTTCCATCAGGGCTTGTTCCGTTGCTGATGGGTTCTGATTTTGAGTATACTCGGCCTTCTTAGGCTGTTTTTTTCCCTTCATTGTAGATGAACCGCCTTTCTAATTAGTTTTCTGAGTCGACGTCCGACTTATTGATTCCCAGTGTTGGGATCCGAGCAACCCACTGTGGCAGCCTAAATAGCAGCGGTAAGACTGATGGTGCTCTTCTGCCCGGGAATCTCTGGTCTGGCTTCCCTCTTGAGTCCGCAACAAGCGGCTCTGACTTCCCGGAGCTCCAAACTCCGGTCAGTAGGGGAAGCAGTGCCGTTGGCTCTGCATGAAGAGCTGCTGCGCCGAGAAGCCGGCAAGACCGCTGCGGCGGCCACAAGAGTCGCGCTGGCGACCTGTGGGGCTCCTCCACTGGGAATCGGCTGATCGGTGAGTGACGAAAATTCGTCCAAAAGTGTGGCGTCGTCTCGTTCTCTGGGCTTTCACTGGGAGCTACAATCCTGAGCTGTTAGTGGTCGGCCATCTTGGATCGATCTCCCTGATAGACATTTTACAGGACAGAGATGAGACAGGAGAGTGGGAAGCAAGTATTCGAAGGTAAGGGAGAAGTGCACTTGGCATCCTGGAAGCTTGAAAGTGCATGACTTGGCCGGGCGCAGAGGTTCACACCTGTAATCCTAGCACTTTGGGAGGCCAAGGTGGGTGGATAACCTGAGGTCAGGAGTTCAAGACCAGCCTGGCCATCACGGTGAAACCCATCTTTAAAAAAAAAAGAAAGAAAGAAAAGAAAAGAAAAAAAGAAAGGCCGGGTGTGGTGGCTCACGCCTATAATCCTAGCACTTTGGGAGGCTGAGGCGGGTGGATCATGAAGTCAAGAGATCGAGACCATCCTGGTCAACAAGGTGAAACCCCATCTTTACTAAAAATACAAAAAATAGCGGGGCATGGTGGTGCATGCCTGTAGTCCCAGCTACTCAGGAGGCTGAGGCAGGAGAACTGCTTGAACCCAGGAGGTGGAGGTTTCGGTGAGCCAAGATCGTGCCAATTGCACTCCAGTCTGGGTAACAACAGTGAAACTCTGTCTCAAAAAAAAAAAAACAAGTGCATGACTTGCCTAGGCACAGTGGCTCATGTCTGTAATTCTAGCACTTTGGGAAGCTGAGGTGGGAGGATCACTTGAGGCCAGAAGTTTGAGACCAGCCTGGGCAACATAGCAAGACCGCATCTCTATTATTTGTGTGTAGGGGGAGGGCAGGGAGACAGAGTCTCACTCCGTCACCCAGACTGCAGTGCAGTGGTACAGTCTTGGCTCACTGCAACCTCTACCTCCTGGGTTCAAGCAATTCTTCCACCTCAGCCTCTCAAGTAGGTGGGACCACAGGCGGCACATGCCACTCCCATGCCCAGCTAACTTTTCTATTTTTAGAAGAGACAGAGCCTCTCCATTTTGACCAGGCTGGTCTCAAACTTCTGACCTTGTGATCCACTTGCCTTGGCCTCCCAATGTGCTGGGATTACAGGTATGAGTAACTCTGCCCAGACAAAAAAATTATTATGTTTTTTTGACGGAGTTTCACTCTGTCACACAGGCTGGAGTACAATGACATCATCTCAGCTCACTGCAACCTCTGCCTCCTTGGTTCAAGAGATTCTCCTGCCTCAGCCTCCCAAGTAGCTTGGACTACAGGCACGTGCCACCACACCCAGCTAATTTTTGTATTTTTAGTAGAGACAGGGTTTCACCCCCTTGGCCAGGATGGTCTCGATCTCTTGACCTCGTGATCCACTCACCTTGGACTCCCAAAGTGCTGAGATTACAGGCGTGAGCCACCAGACCAGGCACAAATTCTTTTTTTTTTTTAATCTCAATAAAAATTTATTGAAATTTCAGTGATGTTTTATTTTTTTTTTTGAGACGGAGTTTCGCTCTTGTTACCCAGGCTGGAGTGCAATGGCGCGATCTCGGCTCACTGCAACCTCCGCCTCCTGGGTTCAGGCAATTCTCCTGCCTCAGCCTCCTGAGCAGCTGGGATTACAGGCACGCACCACCATGCCCAGCTACTTTTTTGTATTTTTAGTAGAGATGGGGTTTCACCATGTTGACCAGGATGGTCTCGATCTCTTGACCTCGTGATCCACCCGTCTCGGCCTCCCAAAGTGCTGGGATTACAGGCATGAGCCACCGGGCCTGGCCCCTCAGTGATGTTTTAAAGAGAGGGGAAATAAAATACAGAAAACCAAAGAACTCATCAACAACTATAACACAAAATATACCTTCATAAATTTCTTTTTTTTCTTTTTTTTGAGACGGAGTTTCACTCTTGTTACCCCGACTGGAGTGCAATGGCACGATCTCGGCTCACGGCAACCTCTACCTCCTGGGTTCAGGCAATTCTCCTGCCTCAGCCTCCCAAGTAGCTGGGACTACAGGCGTGTGCCACCATGACCAGCTAATTTTTTATGTTTTTAGTAGAGACGGGGTTTCACCTTGTTGACCAGGATAGTCTTGATCTCTTGACCTCATGATCCACCCGCCTCAGCCTCCTGAAGTGCTGGGATTACAGGCTTGAGCCACCGCACCCAGCATTCATGAATTTTTTTAAACCATCTTTCAGCACCTGACTTTGGAACTATGAATATCTCTCTATAGGCAGCAATTCAAAACACCATCGATATTGACAACAGTAGTAAATCCCACTTCGTTTTCAGGAAATCAGAGACTAGCAAATACAAATAATGAGAGAATAAGAAAGTCAAACCACGGCCTCTGCCCGCCTCCCTTCCCACAGCAACCTCAGTCATATTTTAAGGAGTTTGAAGTGAAGCTGGAAAGTGGTACTCCTTTCCCAATTTTTGGCTGAAACAGGAAATAGTACTTTCCCCCACTTTTGGACATTAAAAAGGAAAATAAAAATGTGGCAGATAACTCTTTTGAAAGGGTATTGGTGTTGGTGCAGGAAGTGTGTTTTCTAGTGTTAACAGCAATTCTGTGACCTGGAAATAAAACCAACTAAAGGAAAACGAGAACACAAAACCTGTTGCCATTTTATTTACACAGCGCTATATACAATGTCAATAAAGTTTAATCTTCCAAGCATTCATATTCCACTTATTTACAAGAGTTATCAAATAATTACATAAATACTTTGTCTAATAGTCTCACTTATTTTTTTTAAAACTTTGTCATTGCATATACAGGAAAGAGAAAGAACTATCAAAGATTGTTCTTTGATAGTTCTTTCTCTTTCCTGTATATATATGAATCCTGCTACAGAGCTTAGATAAAATAAATTCATTTTATGTGCTTTGCCCACTCCTTTCCTTTAAATCGCCCTCCACCCTTGGGTCACTGATTTGAGGGCAAAGGATTGGGCAAAGGGTATAGGGTTAACTACAAAAGCAAGCATTCAAAATAAAAACCACAAATACATTACTGTGAAACATGCAAGAAGAGACCTATAGCGGCTCTGAAAACATCACAAGAATATTAAAAGGGCACAGATTTCCTTAATACAGACTAAACAAATGGTAGGGACTTCCCTCTCCAAACAAAGCTGCTCAGTAATTTATTGATAATACAAGTCCCTATAAAGTTCTTAATCTGCACAAACAGAATCATGTTAATGTATTGACTTGTCCCCATTTTTTTTGAAAGATTTTATTTGTTTCTGTTTCCACTTGACACAGTGAAGGAAAAAAATATATAAATCCGCACTGAGGGGGATGTCTTTGAACATCTCCCCGCCTGGTGGGCAGAGACCCAGACCAGCCTTGCTGGAAATTGCTCTGGACATAAAGGTTGGAACTCCCACCCCCAATAGCTCAATGCAACCGATGTTTCTGAGCCCCCAGAATCTGTTCCAGATCCCGGATGCATAAACCAGGCCAAGACGACAGGGGCTGTCTCTAGCACATTCTCTCGAGGGAGTCCGGGGCTCCTTCCCAGAAGCAACTGAAAAAGGAAGGGCTAACGCCATGGCGGGCCCGTGGTTTATATCCGACAAAGTGGACGGCAGTCTGGACTGGACTGGAATGAAGAGACGTGTCTGGGAGGGATCTACGGGGACGCACTGCGGGACCTGTCCGGCTTGGCTTCCAAGCCACTGACCAACCGCTGGTTGCTCTGCAGTTCGCTGGTGGCCGCCTCTTTCTCCGCGCAGGGTTTGGGCGACAAGGACACGGAGCTGGAGGAGAGCTTGGAGGAGCGGCTGTTGAGTTCAGAGCCTGAGTCCACGGCCACCGAGGCCGGGCTGGCGGCCAGTGCGGCGACTTTGCCGTCCAGGGTCCCCGCGGCCGCCGCCATGGAGGGGAGGGCGGTGGTGAGCAGGCTGCTGCCGCCCGGGACGGCACCGGGATAGAGTAGGGGCTGTAGAGCAGCCGCGGGCGCATAGTGTTCAGATTGAGGAAGGGGTGGCGGTGCACAGAGCTGGAAGGCGCCGCAGCCATGTACATGTAAGGGTAAGGAAACAGGCTTCCGAAAGGGGACATGGCCAGGCCCTGAGAAGCCAGGACGTGCTGCTGGAGGTGGAAGGGCAGGGTGGCCGCGGAAGCCCCGGACTGTCCCTGTGCTGCGGCGGCAGAGGCCATGGCTGTCGAATTAGGTCGAGACGCCGGTGGAGGCCCCAGACACGGTGGCCAGGAGGGGCCCCATGCCGGCGGCCGCCATGCTGGAGAAGGCGCCTCCCATGGCAAACTGGCCAGGGTGCAGGAAGAGCAGATGCCCGTTGAAGAACTGCTGGCCCGCCAGGTCCGGGGCGAAGCCGAGGCTGGGCAGTGGGCCCTGGGCCAAAAGCGCAGCCGCCGCGTCCGTCTGCACCGTGAGGGGCGCGAAGGCCTCCTTGCCCGGGAGCGCGCGCGCCTCCTCCACCTTGGCCGGCGCTGCGCCCTCGCGGCCTGGGCTCCTGCGCTCCTCCGCGCCCAGGCCTTGGGTGCTGGATGAGATGGTGGCGGGGCTGCGGCGTGAGTCTGGCGACGCCTTGTCCAGCCGCTTGCTGTCCCGGGGCCACTCGGCGGCGAAAAGTTACGCCTTGACCGCGGGGCTGCTCTTGTCACGGCAGGCCTCCTCCGACGAGGTGGTGGAGATCTTGGCTGCGTCGCAGGCCTCGGGGCCGTGCTCCTCTGCCCTCAGCCTTGGCGTCGCTCTCACCCTCGCTGGGACATAAATTGGCCGTGTCAACCCGGGGAAAGCCCCTTAGCCTCTCTGCACCTCAGTGTTCTCATCTGCAAAATGGGGATAATGGTGCCCAACAACTTTGCTGGAAAATGCGCTCCACAAATTCTTTTCATTAAAAACAAAAATAAAGAAAATAAAGTGCCTGCCTTTGCCCTTTCCAGCAGCTTAATGTGGCTGGAACATAGGTATGGGATGCCGATCAATGAGGCCCGAGAGGTAAGCTGAAGGTAGACCGCGAAAGACCTGCTCGGTCTTGTTAAGGAGTTTGGACTTTGGACTTCATCCTAACGCAGTGGGTAGTTTTGCAGAGTTTTAGGGAAGTATCAGAATGATAGTGCTGGCTGCAGAGGTCTCCACACATCACTGAGGAGTCTGGTTTAGCTGCAGCTGATATTGCGGGGGAGGAGGGAAGGAGGCTGGAGTCCAAGGGTTTTCCTGAGTCTCATCTCAGCCATCTCCATGGTGACACTGGAAGATGGTACAGTTCCTTCTAATGAAATTTCCTTGCTGAAATTTCAAGTGTTTTGTTTCAGGCTGGCCTAGACCTTGGCTTCGAACCACTTGTTTCCGACACGCAGAGGCAAACTGAGCAGGTGAGGGAGAGGAGAAGGAAATACTGGGAGGAAATGGGAAGAAGCAGAGGAGCCCCCGTGGTGGCTCCAGCCTGTGCAACCTTAGACACTCACCCTCCATTCTCCACCCCCAGGTCCCTCTAAAACCAACACCAAGTGAAAATCAAGATACGCCTCTTGGGAAGAAGAGCCTTTCATCTTGTATTCACAGGGACTCTAAAGAGGGGACCAGCACTTTTGTCCAGAGTTCTAAGTGATCATCCAATCATGAGATGTAAGGCTGGGAGACTCTTCAGAAATCTCCTAAAGCCCTCCCTCTGCCTCTCACCCCCGCCTTTTATTTGTAGATGAAGAAACAGAGGCCTGCATTATGGTAGTGACTTTCATAAAGGTTAAAATTCCAAAGGGGCCAGGCGTGGTGGCTCACACCTGTAATCCCAGCACTTTAGAAGGCTGAGGCGGACAGATCACTTGAGGTCAGGAGTTTGAGACCAGCCTGGCCAACATGATGAAGCTCTGTCTCTATGTAAAAAGCTGGGCACAGTGGCTCATGATTGTAATCCCAGCACTTCGGGAGGCTGAGGCGGGTGGATCATGAGGTCAGGAGTTCAAGACCAGCCTGGCCAATATGGTGAAACCCCGTCTCTACTTAAAATGCAAAACTTAGCTGGGCATGGTGGTGTACACCTGTAATCCTAGCTACTTGGGAGACTGAGGCAGGAGAATCGCTTGGACTTGTGAGGCAGAGGTTGGCAGAGGTTGCTGTGAGCCGAGATCACACCAATGCACTCCAGCCTGGGCAACAGAGTGAGACTCCATCTCAAATAAAAATAATAGTCGGGCATAGTGTTGCATTCATGTAGTCCCAGCTACTCAGGAGGCTGAGGCAGGAGAATTGCTTGAACCTGGGAGGTGGAGGTTGCAGTGAGCCAAGATTATGCCACCGCACTCCAGCCTGGGTGGCAGAGCAAGACTCCATCTCAAAAAAAAAAAAAAAAAAAAATTTCCAAAGGAACTCTCAAAAAATTAAAATAGAATTACCATATGATTCAACAATTCCACTTCTGGGTATGTACCCAAAAGAATTGGAAGCACAAACTCAAATGGATATTTCCATGCCAATGTTCATAACAGCATTAGTCACAATAGCCAAAAGGAAAAAAAAAAAGCCAAAAGATGGAAGGAACCCAAATGTTCATCAACCGATGAATGGGTAAACAAAGGTTCCCTTTATATACATATAAGGGAATGTTATCCAGCAGTAAAAGGAGATGAAATTCGGATACATGCTACCTTATGGATGGACCTTGAAGCCATTGTGTGAAATAAAATAAGCCCGACACAAAAAGACAAAAATTGTATGAGTCCATTTATATGAGTACCTAGAATAGTCAAATCCATAGAGACAGCAGAATGGTGGTTCTGGGAGCTGAAGGGAGAGGGCAGTGTGAAGTTACAGTTTGCAGAGCATGGCGTTTCAATTTGGGGTAATGAAACAGTTCTGGAGATGAATGGTGGCGATGGTCGCATAACAACATGAATGAGGGCTGGGCCGGTGGCTCAAGCCTGTAATCCCAGCACTTTGGGAGGCCGAGGCAGGTGGATCACAAGGTCAAGCGATCAAGACCACCCTGGTCAACAAGGTGAAACACCGTCTCTACTAAAAATACAGAAATTAGCTGGGCATGGTGGCACGCGCCTGTAGTCCCAGCTACTTGGGAGGCTGAGGCAGGAGAATCGCCTGAACTCAGGAGGCAGAGGCTGCGGTGAGCTGATAATGTGCCATTGCACTCCAGCCTGGATAACAAGAGTGAAACTCCGTCTCAAAAAAAAAAAAAAAAAAGGTTAAGATGGTAAATTTTATGTTTATGTATATTTTGCCACAATAAAAAAAAAAACAACGCAGACACACACACACATTCCAAAGGAACAAGGATCCAGATATCTTAGGTTTAGCAGCACTTATTTCTGAGTAACAGGATTTATATACCCTTCTCCGTTTTTGATCTGGGCAACCTGGGAGTTGATCTGGTTTAAATGGCTTCATTGTGAGGACCCTATGAATTTCGTAACTGATCAGCTTACCTTTTCCACCATGACTGCTAGAAAGGTTCGGATGAGATTTGTAGTACACTTATACAAAAGAAGTATCCAGAACTTCTGAATCTCCTTCCTTCCTTCTTTCCTTCCTTCCTTCCCTTCTTCCTTCCCTCCCTCCCTCCTTCCTTCTTTCCTTCCTTCCTTTCTTTCTTTCTCTATCTCTCTCTTTCTTTTTTCTTTCTTTCTTTCAAGGTTTCTTTCTGTTGGCCACTGAAGCAATCCTCTCACCTCAGCCTCTCAGGTAGCTAAGACTACAGGTGTGTGTCACCATGCTGAGCGTAGGGGATCTTGCTATGTTGTTAGAGCTGGTTTAGAACTACTGGGCTCGGCCGGGCATGGTGGCTCATGCCTGTAATCCAAGCACTTTGGAGGCCAAGGCAGGAGGATCACCTGAGGTCGGGAGTTCAAGACCAGCCTGACCAACATGGTGAAACCCCATCTTAAAAGAAAAAGAAAAAGAAAAGGAAATAAAACTACTGGGCTCAAGTGATCTTCTTACCTCAGCCTCCCCAAGTGCTGGGATCACAGGGGAGCCACATCGCCTGGCCTGGATCTCATTTGCATAAGCCTAATTGCTGGCCACATTTTACAGTTTTATATTTGCTTTTCTTTTCTTCTATCTATGTACTTTTAAAAAATAACCCTTTTAATATTATAGAAGTATACATATGTGTTTTAGAAAATTTGAAAATAAAGACAAGCAAAAAATTAAAAAGTAAAATGTTCAGATACCCACTATCCAAATATCAATCATTAATACCTTAGGTTATGGTCTTCTTTTTACTAAAATGAATGATTACATTTATTCTAAAACTTGTTTTTTCAGCTAAACATCTCCACTTTCCATTACAGTAAAAATTTTTTTTTTTTTTTTTGAGACAGAGTCTTGCTCTGTCACCAGGCTGGAGTGCAGTGGCGCAATCTAGGCTCACTGCAACCTCCACCTCCTGGGTTCAAGCGATGCTTCCGCCTCAGCCTCCTAAGTAGCTGGGACCACAGTCGAGTGCCACCAGACTAGGCTAATTTTTTTTTTTTTTTGAGACGGAGTTTCGCTCTTGTTACCCAGGCTGGAGTGCAATGATGCGATCTCGGCTCACAGCAACCTCCGCCTCCTGGTTCAGGCAATTCTCCTGCCTCAGCCTCCCGAGTAGCTGGGATTACAGGCATGCGCCACCATGCCCAGCTAATTTTTTGTATTTTTAGTAGAGACGGTGTTTCACCATGTTGACGAGGATGGTCTCGATCTCTTGACCTCGTGATCCAACCGCCTCGGCCTCCCAAAGTGCTGGGATTACAGGCGTGAGCCACCGCGCCCGGCTTAATTTTTTTTTTTTTTTAATTTTTAGTAGAAAGGGGGGTGTTTCACCATGTCGGCCAGGATGGTCTCGATCTCTTGACTTTGGGATCCACCCGCTTCAGCCTCCCAAAGTGCTGGGATTACAGGTGTGAGCCACCGTGCCCGGCCTACAGTAGATTTTTATCTCATCAAATATTCAAATTATATTTAAATTTCTCTAGTTGACTCTAAAATCTCTTTATAACTAGTTTTTCCAGAACAGTATCCAATCTAGGATCACCTATTGCCTCTGATTATTATGGCCCTTTTGTCTCTTTTAATCCAGCAAAAGCCGTCTAGGCAGTGTGGCTCATGCCTGTAAACCCAGTACTTTGGGAGGCCAAGGCGGGTGGATCACCTGAGGTCAGGAGTTTGAGATCAGCCTCGCCAACATGGTGAAACCCTGTCTCCACTAAAAATACAAAAATTAGCCGGGCATGGTGGCACACACCTGTAATTCCAGCTACTCGGAAGGCTGAGGCTGAGGCAGGAGAATCCCTTGAACCCAGGAGGCGGAGGTTGCAGTGAACCGAGATCGTGCCACTGCACTCCAGCCTGGCGCCTGGTGACTGAGTGAGACTCTGTCTCCAAAAAAAAAAAAAACATGTTGAAGGCTAGTTGTCCTGGGTCATTTCCCACTCTCTGACTTTGTGTTATTGGTTCCTTATGGTGTCATTCATCTTGTTCCTCCATCCTGTATATTTCCTGTAAACTGGAATGAATACCTAAAGGCCAATGGACCCAAGTAAAACATTTTTTGACTATAACAAATAATTATCATTAATTTTGTGTTATATCACTGCTGAAGATACACTATCTTGTTGAGGATTAGTAACACACTAGCAAAACTCAGATAAATGTCTGGATTAAGGTAATAACAACCTGAATCTGCCATCATACAATGAGATTGTCCTACTTGCATCTAGGAACCTGTGTGGGGTTACTTCAACCCTGTAAATACCCAGTTCTCCATCAACTACTAACGTATAATATTAACATAATGATTTAACCACAATTGGTAATCCTTGTTTAAAATGATTTGCCACTGCTAGGTGTGGTGGCTCACACCCAGAATCCCAGCACTTTGGGAGGCCAAGGTGGGTGGATTACCTGAGGTCAGGAGTTCAGGACCAGTCTGGCCAACATGGTGAAACTCCATCTCTACTAAAAATATAAAAATTAGCCAGGCATGGTGGTGCATGCCTGTAATCTCAGCTACTCAGGAGGCTGAGGGAGGAGTGATCACTTGAACCTGGGAGGTGGAGGTTCCAGTGAGCTGAGATCACCCCATTGCACTCCAGCCTGGGCAACAGAGCAAGACTTTGTCTCAAAAATAACAATAACAGGCTGGGCGCTGTGGCTCATGCCTTTGCAGGCCTGAGCAGGTAACAACAGTGAAACTCCATCTCAAAAAAAAAAAATAAAATAAAATAAATAACAATAATAATAAATAAATAAATAAATAATAAAAGGATTTGCCAAAGTATATTTTTCTAACCCTGCTTTTTTTTTTTTTTTTGAGACGGAGTTTTGCTCTTGTTACCCAGGCTGGAGTGCAATGGCACGATCTCGGCTCACCGCAGCCTCTGCCTCCTGGGTTCAGGCAATTCTTCTGCCTCAGCCTCCTGAGTAGCTGGGATTACAAGCACGCACTACCATGCCCAGCTAATTTTTTGTATTTTTAG